GATAGGCAAGGGTAGAAGGCCTAGGGGCTGGAAGTCTGAGAGCTGATAGGAAGGGTAGAGTGGATGGCTGAGGGCTTGGGACTAGCAGTATTAGAGCGAGGAGGATCCCATGGGCTTGTCCCATATTGCTACTGAGTTTATTATAGCCCTTATAAGATTGAAACTAAAAGGCTCCACAAGGGAACTTAATATAAAGAGCTTGGAAGATGTTTCAGACTGGCAGGGCTTCCATGTAGGATGAGGCTGTAATGTAAAATCTATAGATGGAAACAGATGTACCTTAAACTCTGGCAGTGTAAAATGGTCCAGATTAGGAGAAGGGTCAAGTGGCAAAAGACTACAGTTTCACAAATAGATACAAATGTACAAACAAGTTGTTCTGTTAGTTTAAATAAATGAGCATTTATTTCACTTACAAATAGAAATCAACTGGTGATACATGTACATGTAGCAATAAATGGGGATTGTTTTACATACACACAAAGCACTTTTGCAAAGTAATATTTTCAAATGAAACAAATTTCATGTCGGTCCTAAAAAGTCCTTAGAATGCACTACAAGGTGTTTAGTGAAAAATATTGTGTTAGACATTAATTTGGGAAACAGAATTGGTTAAAATTTAAACACGTTGGCCACCAAAAAAAACAAGTTTTATGACTAAAACATAAAAACTGTTTACATCAAATATTTCTTTTGTCCACAGAGCAAGTCCCTATTGTTTTCAAAAATTACATTTTTGCAGTAAAGACCTTTCAACACTGAGCCAACAATTTGTGACTTGCAATTTTGTGGGAATTTTCAGTGAGAGACTTTTTTCTAATGCTCTGGCAATGTGGATGTGCAACTTGGAAAATGCAAAATGCACATAGAATTTTGTTCAAGGAAAAACTTATAAAGATGAACAAAGAAATTGACTGGAGCAGGATCTGAACCTGCAACACCTGAAACACCGTACCAGTGCCCTACCAACTGAGCTATCCAGCCCTATGTCGGTGGTTCTTCCCATTTGTCAATATCTCTGTTCAGGGGGTGAACTTGTTAAAAGTGAGGTTCAGAACAGCCACCGGGTTGACTGAACAGTGCTGGCATTTTGGCTGCCTGAATGGGAACACCATTCAATTTTTAAAAGCATGAAAAAAGCATGCCATAGTTTTTAGTCCTCAAAAGAAGTAGTATCAAAGTGTCTGGAGTGTTTCCAAATGGTAATTATTTGCAAATTTTGAAGTACATGTAGAGCATCTTGATAAATGTAAACATAAATGTTATTAAATGTGCATTAATACGAGTTGATGAATTACAATGTAAAGGAACAAATTAAAGGTGAACAACAGTCTTTTTCCAAAAGCAAACTGACCAATCGTCTATTCAATTTACAGAGTCATGAATAATGTAGATGTAAGTACAGTACAACGTCACTATACTGAACAATTCGGTCTACGGAACATGCCTCGTGGCTTTCAAATTTTCTGCACACTTTTACTCAACATCACAAATTTGTTTTAAATTAAAGAAAAAAGTTAGGACTGATGACAGTGACTCAAAAGTTAAGATGTCAATAAACTCTGAAGTTGGAACGGCCGTGTTATGAGCCCATAGCAAAACAAGCAGCCACACAAGAGAATCTGTTTTACATGAACAAGAACACCCATGTATGTATGAGTAACAACTGACATTTCAATGTACACATAGGAAATAGCGCCCTCTTTTGCCAGAACTTTTTCCCTTTTTTATGGAAATCAGAACATTTTGATTTTTAGGCCTATGAAAATGCGACGATTGGAACAGTACCAATGAAATGGCAATAGTTGGGGAGGCATGCTACACCAAGCATTGCGTATGGACCCTGCCCTGTTCATTATAGCAGCATTGTACTGTATACCAATATACACTACTCAAACAATTTAAAGGATCAGACATTTATCTTTACAATTTCACTGCGCCAGGTGTGTACCTCATTGACTTTACTTATTGTACACTGAAGCTCATGTTCATGCTTGGTTGAGCACCATAAAATGTGAGACAATGCAATCGGTTAGTCGTATTTCAGAGCCCAATCAGCTGGAGAGGTCAAAAAGCATTGGACGATGTGTATTGCTCAGGTATTGCACTTCAAAATGGCCACCTTTACTCTCTTTGCACATAAATTAAGGATGGGATGACTCAGCGGCAAGGGGGTGAGAGACTGGGAGTGTCTTAGAGAGTTGGGGGGGGGTTAAAATGACATGAATGAGACTAGCCAGTACTATACGACCCTAACGTGGTAAATGACCTACATGCATGTGTCTCAGCTTTTCAACGATCTCGCGAGTTTTTCCTTGTGTTCGCGTAAAACCCTGACGAGGAGTGTGAACCTGTTCCGAGAACAGTGTTCTTGGGTCATGTTCCCACCGTTCGAGCACGAGCACAAGAAACCCGTGTCAAGAACAGGCTGCCCGAATTCAACCACTGAGATATCATTCTAACTCGTAAACAGCGCCCTCATATTACTGTGATATCATTCTAACTCATAAACAGCGCCCTCAAATTACTGTGATATCATTCTGACTCATAAACAGCGCCCTCATATTACTGTAATATCATTTAAATTCATAAACAGCGCCCTCATATTACTGTGATATCATTCTCACTCATAAACAGCGCCCTCATATTACTGTGATATCATTTGAACTCATAAACAGCGCCCTCATATTACTATCATTCTAACTCATAAACAGCGCCCTCATATTGCTATCATTCTAACTCATAAAGAGTGCCCTCATATTACTGTCATATCATTCTAACTCATAAACAGCGCCCTCATATCAGTCATATCATTTGAACTCATAAACAGCGCCCTCATATTACTATCATTCTAACTCATAAACAGCGCCCTCATATTACTGTGATATCATTCAAACTCATATATAGCTTCTAACTCAAAACAGTGCCCTCACATTACCGTGA